GGAAAGGAGGAGTGTAACAAGTGCGAGATCAAGCCCCAGCCAGTCCACTCTTTGGAAGGTAAAAGAGTCCCTTGTGATACGCTTATTTGTCTATTAATGTCTATCTGTCTACCTAGTCTGTCTATCTAATGAAACTCAGTTACCAACATTGTAAATATAATAGCAAGAGCAATGACGATGAGAGTGACGACGCTTATGACTGTGGCTATGAGAGTTGCTATGACGATGGCTATGGCGATAACAATGACGATGGCGATACTAATACTACACATAATATCAGCAGCAATAGCAATGGCAACAAGGACAATAATAATTATCAGAACAACAACAAAACGAACACCACCACCATCTAAAATCCATGAACAAACGACACAACAACAACAACAACAACAACAACAACAACAACAACAACAACAACAGCGGAACAGAAGACGGAAACCAAAATCTAACATTTTCCCTGTTTCCTTTTACAGACAAGATCTTGAACAACGCTCGCCTCTGCACTTTCGAAGACACAGATACAGGCTGTTACTTCAACTTCACTTATTTGTACATGGATAACGGAAAGTACGACATTTACGTCCTCAGGGAACAGCAGTGTCCGGAAGCTGCACCTGTTTTGGGTTCGTACCTCATTTGTTTTGTTTCTTTGTAATGCTACTCCTTCTATCGATAATTAGAGTGATAGCAATGATAAAGATGATAATGCTAATGTTAATGGTTATGATCATACTAACAGTAAAATGATAGAGATAATAATAATGATGATAAGGCTGATGCTAACAATGATAATGAAAGTGATAATGATGATAATGAAAATGCTCATGGTGATAATAATAATGAAAATAATAATACTAATAACAACAATAATAACAATGAAAATATTAATAATCCTTATCATATTGATAACGACAGTAATACTGTTAATAATGGCTGTAATAATAATGTGGCAATAAAGATAAGGACGTTGATATCAATATCTATTTTGCATTAATTTTTCATCTCCCCGGATTTTGAATATTTTTTTCCTTACTGGATGGAATGTGATATAGAATACGCTCTTTTTTTTTTTTTGATAGACTAGACTCAAAAATAATTTATACACTTTACGATTATACGATGCAAGCAGAAATGTGCTTTTTCTTAAATTTGAATAATCATTATTTTAATTCATCACTGAAATTTCCCCTTTAAATTTGTAGTAAATCAACAGAAAATATCTTGTTTTTCCTTTAAGAAATAATAACTTTTGTTCCCCCTTTTTCTCCTTTTAGGCATCGTGTTCGGACTCGTGGCCGCAATTGTGGCTATTGGCCTCCTCACGCTCCTGATTTGGAAATTACTCACAACAATACACGACCGTCGAGAGTATGCCAAGTTTGAAGACGAACGCAGGAAAGCTCAGTGGAATACGGTAAGGAGTAATTTAGTGGCCCAGCATATATATATATATATATATATATATATATATATATATATATATATATATATTATATATATATTATATGTCACTGTTATATAATATATATATATATATATATATATATGTATATATAATATATATATATATTATATATATATATATATATATATATATATATATATATATATATATATATATATAGGCTTGTAAGTAGACATATAAATAAATAAATAAGTAGACTGACAAACAGTGAGATAAAGATGTAGATGTAGTTTGGATAAATCACATAAGCTGTCAGATATGCGTGTAAATGAAATGGTATAAATAAATGTTTTAAATCCATAGACTGATAGATGGGCATCCGATACGATCAAATATAGATATATACATACGCATTGATAAATGTGTAATTACACTAAAGCTACGTGCTTAGACCTATTTTTAAAATATTTATTTTCAGATAATTTTTAACCTATCATTTTACAATTTTGAGTTACTGAACATCTTTTATTTTTATCATTCTATATAATCCAACTGTATTAAATGAATATATATATATATATAAATATATATACTTTTTTATTTATTTTATTTTATTTTTTTCAGGATGGCAACCCCCTCTACAGACCTGCGACCAACACCTTCAAAAATCCGGCTTTTGCCCAACAAGCTCAGTAATGGAAGGGGGGGGGGGGGGTAATCCGTGGGTTTGTGATACTAAATTTACTTTAAATTAATTCCCTTTTTCTTCTTCACAGCTGATTTTTTTATATCTTAACATTTGATTTGAGTTTTTCATTTTACTTATATTATTTTTAATCTTCATACTGGTTTTATTATGCTTGCTTTAAATGTTAGACAAGATTTTTTTTCACGCTAATTTCTGTTTTTCCAATGTTATGTTTGACATATCAGATAATTTTTTCATGAGTTATTATTATGGTAATTAATATAATTAATATTCGTTTAGTCTTGATTAAGAGGGTGGACATTTTCTTTTATAAACAATGAAGTTTCCTTTACCTTGTCTTAAAATGTGCAGAATTAGTAATGTTAACTTATGACACCAAAGATTTA